TCTATACTTTACTCCATTACTTATTTTTCTTCCTACTTCTGACTTCTACTATTTACATTTTTACACAAGTATCTGTATTTTCTATTCCTTACATTTTTAAAACAAACCTTACTCGTTACTCTTGGCTTTGTTAAATGTTTATAAATATTTATTTCCCGTCATGTGCTCCATCCAATGCAGATCATTGGCTTCATCCACATCTAGTGAAAACTAGTGTCATTGGATGAGTCATATGACACAAACACTCATTGGTTAGCGAAAGGAAATGATTAGAAGCAAGCAGGTGTTCTTCAAACTACAACCTTGAATTGTCTATGCCATGCTAAAATGTAGGATTCAGAAAAAGATGCTGAAATGTCTCAAAGGTCGGAGACAGGCAAGAGCGTATCGGGAGATGGAGACCAATAAGACCTCCCTCATCCTTGGCCCTATCTCAAAGAATTTTTCAAAATAGTCAAAAAATTTAGCTTTCAATTCATATAGTGGCATCTGGCTGTTTTTTTTTAAAGGTTACTTCCTACTTTTATACTTTAAGTAGTTTTTGGAGCACATACTTTTTCACTTTTACTTGAGTAAAGAGGTCAAGTTGATACCAGAGTGTTTTTAAACTGCAGTATCTATACTTCTACTTAAGAAATGTATGTATACTTTTGACACCACTGAAAAACAGATATAAACTCAACCTAATATTTGAGTATAACCTGCATTTATTCAGAAGAGTTTAAAACATACATTTTGGAACAATGGTCGTAGAACAGCGATTAGTTTTCTCCTGTTCAGAAGTTGTCCTCATTTAAACTGGTTGATGTCTTGAGATCTAACTTCCATATATGCCTTTTTTTCTTTAAAATGTCCTACATTTTGGTAACCATGGATTTATTGACATACAGTGAATAGATTGTTGGTCCGTTGATGTGACAGAGATGGATAACAGACTATGTAGATGGATGCCAAGATAGACTAATAATGGGCATTGGATTGATGCAATGATGGAGGGACTCTTTATGGATATATAAGTTGAAAAGGGCCAGAAGAACAACAGATGAATGGATGATGGATGGATTAATATAGCTCAATTTAAACAAAATAAATCCTTTTATAAATGTTTTGAAACAAAAGATTGTGAAAATTCTTGGATTCTCAAACATCTTCCCAGGCAGGATTTATAAACACCTGCTGTTTGCATTGAAATCAGACATTTTTACATTTAGTTTTAAGCCAAAGATCAAAGTTCTGTCTTTACTATTGACTGATATCATATGAAAAAGTGGGATGAATGTCTTTTACCATAAACTTTTATTAGTCTTAGGACTTGTCCAAGTCTTAAACTAAATAAATGAGAAATTAAACTCAATTAAAGGTTCCCTTTCTTAACAAACACTGTACAAAATTGCACATTTAGCATTTTGTATTTGGGAACACTTCAGCCAGCAGCAGATCCAGCTCGTTATATATTCTTCACTGTAATATAAAACCAGCATGGTAATGCCTTCAGTTTAACATGCAGCTGCGGAGCTCAGAGGTGGCTGGAGTTATCGAGCGGGTTGGAGATCACAGACTTGTGTATGAGCATGAAAAGAGGCAGGTAGGCCAGGAAGTCCAGCAGATCTAGTGGGGGAATGCGCTGCAGCTCCATCCTGATGGCCGCCTCCTGCTCCATATGGATACCTCCAGCCTTCAGCTCCAGAAAGAGCTGCTCCCTGCTGATGAAGCCCTGCTGAGCTCCAGACACGTCCTGCTGGTCCTCCAGGAGTAACAGGAACAGCTGCTGCAGAGGTCAGAATACGGATTTTACATTAAAACTCTGGTTCTTTTGGGGGTTTTACTTCCAGTTTTCCTTCAGAGGTTTAGTTGTGGTTTAAAATGAACCTAAAATATGGAAAACTGGTTCTGGATCTCCTCTCCTTGCTGTTTGCTGTGGGAATATGCTCCTGTGTGTTATTGTATAACGGCCTCAGATTACCACAGTCCTGTTTGGCGCACCTGTTTGCACAGTTAATGCAGTCTAGGTAATAATTGTTGAGCAGAGGGCGGGGACAGGGAATAGTCCTTCTGGTAATTAGCCCACAGCCTCCCCCAGCAGCCTCTCCAGTTAACAACCCTATCCCTAACAGCTCTGTAATTACAAAGCCTCCCCTACCTGGTCTGGGGCTCAGTTTTCCACACCCACAGGCTTTCATGTTCCGCCAGCCTTTGAGTTGCCTGCTACCTCCTCACTCTCTCATTGACAGCTGGTATTGGCTCGTCCCAGTCCATCCAAGGAGAGCCGTGTGTCTGAGGCTGATTACAGGCTGGGGCGGAGTGGACGGCATGTTCACTGCTGGGCACTTTAATGAGATTAAGTCCGTGCTAATCTATGAAAAAGGAAAAGCGCCCCTCTTCCCTTCCCTTGCTTGTTTCCCTCATTTCCATGCATGAGGGCCGAGTGGCTCTCCAGAAAAACGGTTTCAGATCGCTCTTTAAAGAGTCAGCCTGCTTGTCTTATTGCAACCTGCAGAGCCACAGGAGTGAGGCTAAGGTGAACCGGGAGGTGATGTCTGAGGCATGAATGTCAATCTGAGGTGTTATTGTGTTATCAAGTTCAAGAGCACAAACATGTGGAAAGGACGGACTTGAGGGTGTCAATACCTTTGCTTTAAAGAGACGCACTTCAAGGGAGCGGAGGTCCATGTTGCTGATCAGTGATCGCATAAACTCGCTGGAAGAGAGAGGAAAGAATAACTAAGTCGAACAGAAGCTTAAAAAATATAATTTAGAGAAGACATGACATATCTTCAAAATGTCTAATGTGCAATGAGGTAGGAGATCTATGGGAGCTATTTAACTGGAGTATTTTACATGTTTCATGTAAAAAATAAAGTTTATAAAAGAGTCTTTGACACTAGATTAATCTCAGTCAGACAGAAGGGAAGGTGGTGCGGACGTTGATTTTAGAAATTTGACTAAAACTCTCAATTGTGATTTGGCTTTTTGCTTTGATTAGGCCATTCTAACACATTTTCAACTTTTTGTGTTGCTTTGCTTTATTTCAACATTTCTTCTCTCTGGTCCTGAATGGCCTTTATGTTTTATATGCGTCTCTTCTCTTGGAAAAGTGATCAAAGTGGTTGGATTTTCTCCTTAGCTTTAGTTTAAGTTCTGGACAAAACAGTTTATCGTTCTTTGATCAAGTCTGGAGCGCTGGCACAGGGAAAGACCCAAAACATGGAGGACAGTGACCCACTGAAATTCTATACACAGTCCTAGTTTGAGAAGTTTCTGACCAAGCGAAGATGTCTGACCTTGATGCCATTAGTTAGTTTCCATGTACTTATACAGTGATCAAAATACAGACAGACTACTTTTGAATGCAATTAGTTGTGTCAGCCTTTATATAAGGCTGTTAATCTAACCAGGGCGGAAAAAAGTTATGAACCATGCACAATTTTCCATCTGTTGTATGGTATTTCTTAAATGGTCAATAAAAAGAAAAATGTTTGTTAAAATTATGCAAAGCCCTGTCTGTGGAAAAGCTCTCTTGAAAACACAGAAGGTATTTGTGGAAACCAACACTTCTGACTTCTTTAAAGGAATAGTACACCCAAAACATGATTAGCCTTCATTTTCTACTCACCCCCATGCTGAACAACACTCTGGAGTACTTTTTTGATATCTCAAATGCATCTGGAGATCTGGGAGGCTTCTTGCTGTCTGCTGACATTCAAATAATGGAGGTCTATGGTGCCCGAAGCAGAAAGGTCCATAAAAGTCCACAAAAAACGTGTCAATATTCCTCCATACTGCTCGTCCAATGTATTCCAAGTGTCCTGAGTGGGTAGCGTCCATAATTTACTCGAAACTAAGTCATTTAGAATGTTTTTAGAGCATAAACGGTAGTTTATAGGATTTCCTAAAAGAGCGTTCACGAGTTTACGGAAACCGCGACAGACCTAACCAGACAAAAGTGCGCATTCAGCGTCTGCTCTGCCGATAATGCAAGCGTAGAAGAAGAAATGTGCTGTTTACCTGTGCAAAGAAAGACACAACGAAAGAAAAATGTCTGAGGACTTCAGTGTTGAGGAAGAGCATGAGTTCTTTGCCGAGCTGAATGCGCACTTTCATCTGGTTTGGTCTGCCGCGGTTTCCGTAGACTCGTGAACGCGCTTTTAGGAAATCCTATACACTACTGTTTATGCTCTAAAAACATTCTAAATGACTTCGTTTCGAGTAAATTCTGGATGCTACCCAGTCAGGACACTTGGAATACATTGGACAAGCAGTATGGAGGAATATTGACACGTTTTTTGTGGACTTTTATGGACCTTTCTGCCTCGGGCACCATAGACCTCCATTATTTGAATGTCAGCAGACAGCAAGAAGCCTCCCAGATCTCCAGATGCATTTGAGATATCAAAAAAGTACTCCAGAGTGTTGTTCAGCATGGGGGTGAGTAGAAAATGAAGGCTAATCGTGTTTTGGGTGTACTATTCCTTTAAGTGGAGTGTTTGTAAATATAAGTCATGCCATGGCGGGTAATTTTTGGCGGGTTACTCCCCGGTGACCCCCTGTTTGCCAACCAGTGATGCTAAAGTGTTTTGAGTTCATTGTGGTTGCTCACAGACAAACAATGCGTCGGCACACTGAGACATCCCGCCACATTAACGGATAAAACTGATTTGGGGGACAGTGGGCGTGGAGTGGGGGGGGGGGAGCAGCAGGATGAGCGGGATTCGAGCGGAGAGGAATGAGCGGTCCGAGCACACTTTGGTGCAATGTGACCACTTTCAGGCCGACTAAATCTGGATCCACATAGATAATTAGAGGCAGAGTGGAGCGATTGTGTTGGGACGGACCTCTCCAGTCCAGCGTGTGGCACAGCGACGGTCATCCCATCTCTAACGAGCTCCTGGTGTTAATGAGCCCCTCCTCGCTGAGCGCTCAATGGCCTGTTAGAGCAAAGAATGGCCAAGCACTAGGCAATCAAGTGCATGCCTGAGTGCTTCCAGCACTGCAATTGGACCTTGTCCTCCAAACTACGCAGCAGTCCGAGCTTTGATGAGGATGAGGCAGGACAGGGCAGCTAATGATTATTAATTGCACTTCGTTTGCAGTAAAAGAGTCCAAATCCTGGTGCACAAGCACACCGGCGTGTAAATGGCAAGAACCAACCAGCCAGGGTTTGGGGGAAGCGGCGATGATGGACTGCTGGGAGGATAATAACAGCCTAACCCATTTTCTTTTGTTGGCCCCCCACTGTGGCCAACACAGAAGACTTCTCACTTATGTTGAGCTCAACATTTTGGCGGCCAACTCACTGCAGATCCTGCAGACGGTGATGCAAACAGATTCTGACCCAGTTTGATCTGACAAAGCTTGGAGTTGTTTGGGGATATTTAAGCGGGCTGGTTGAAATCTAGTGGATGAGGAGGGGCTCAAAATGGCTCCTACTTAACTAAAAGGTCAAAATTAAACTCCTAATGTTTCAATGGAACAAGGAGCGATCTTTACATTTACATGACATAAATCAGTGCAATTCTTTTGAGCTTCTGAGGTTTTTCTTCAGACACTTAAAAAAAAATGTAACAAGGAAAGGATTTGACTTCAGGATTGATGATAAACATCAAAATTATTTATCTTCTAGCTGGAACCAGGGGTCTTTGCTGGACTTATGTCTTTCTATTTGGTTGTGCCTGGAGCCTTAGACTCCACCACCCCCAACCCAACCTACACATGTTTTCCACAAATCTGCCAAAAAAAGGCAATCAGGTTTAGAAATCAAGTATTTGCAAAAAAAGCTTTTAAATATCTTTTTGAGTTGATGTTATAATAAATTAATTCAATTAGCCACATATAAAGTTCAACTATCCTGTAAAAAATGTCCCTATATTTATATAATTTGTTAATTTAATCCTTTATTATTATATATATCACTGCTTTACTCAGTTGTGCTGAAACACTTAATGTTTTAATTAAACTACCAAAAAAAAAAAAAAAAAAAAGCTGAATGAAAACTGATCAAACTAATAAATACTGAAAAAACTGAATGAAATTCCAGAAAATATTGGTCGGGTTGTACTTTTTTTAGGCCGGTCTAAAATTCCCATATCATTGTCGGAAAATTTGCTCGTTTTTCATTTGCCATCATCGCAATAAATCATCACAATAAAAATCAAGCAGTTATCCATTACATTTGTGTCACGCTTATCCCAAGCAGGGTTGCGAGGGGTGCTGGTGCTTCTCTCAATTCAATTCACTTTATTTATATAGCGCCAAATTCACAACACATGTCATCTCAAGGCACTTTACAGTTCAACCAGATCATACAGTCAAATTGATACAAAGTTTGTGTATCTAAGGAAAACCAGTTGATTGCATTGACTCAAATACAATCCCTCACACTAAGCATGCTTGTAGCAACAGTGGAGAGGAAAAACTCCCCTTTAACAGGAAGAAACCTCCAGCAGATCCAGGCTCAGTGTGAGCGGCCATCTGCCGAGGCCGACTGGAGTTCAAGGAGACAGAAGCAGCCGTCTACGGATGAAAGGCAGGGTCCACCCTGGACAGGTCGCCCGTCCATCGCAGGGCAACACAGAGACAAACAGGAGACGCACACACTCACACCTAAGGAGAATTTAGAGAAGCCAATTAACCTAACAGTCATGTTTTTGGACTGTATGAGGAAGCCGGAGTACCCAGAGAGAACCCACGCATGCTCAGGGAGAAAATGCAAACTCCATGCAGAAAGACAGGGAAGGAATTGAACCCAGAACCTTCTTGCTGCAAAGGCAGCAGTGCTACCCAATCTGCTCCACTGAACAGCCCCAAGCACTTATCCTAATCAATAAATCCTATAAACAAAACTAATGGCCTAAGTAGAGTCCAGATTTAAATCTAACAACATATGTAGTATTGCCTGAAGAGGGTTACAAATAGATTTTCATTTAATGTTTTAGGTTTGAAGAAAATATGTTAGTAGTTTTATAATGCAGGTGTTTTAATCTGAAAGACTGCAACAAAACAGGGCTGAACTATCAAAGGAAATCATGATTCTACTGTATTCTTGTGTGCCGCAGTACTGCATGGTATTAAAGACCCATAGTTTCCTCATTCTTTCTTTATTTGTTTATTTTATACCATCAACATATGCCCATAGCTATCAGAGAGATTTAGCATGTTTAAGGTGAACTTAAAAAATAAAAAGAGAAACTTTATCCCATTGGACAAATAAATGATTGGAAGATCTCTAGTCTTTTGTCACTGTGGTGGAACAGATGAGTTGAAGTTTCTTCTGCCGTCTCACATAGATAGGAGGGACATCCAGCTCTCAACCCTTTGGGAGGGTTTTCCACGAAATTTTACCATCCTGTGCATTTTTTAAAGTCAGACACTGATGTTGGATGAGAAAACTTTCTTTAACTTCTCTGCTCTGGCTAATTGATTCATTTGGGTCCAAGTTAGGCAATTTCTTCCACATCAAATTTACTCATAAAAGGTCTTTAGAGACCTTACAGTACTTGTTCATTGTTGTATGGTCAAACTGTCTCAGAAACATTAACTGCTTCAAATGTCTCTGCATATATATGAACCCAGAAATGTTTCTGTTTTGGCATTTTTTTTTTCGGTTACCTCCTTTTCATTCCGTTAAAATCCTTACCCAAACAGAGAGATGTGATCTTTTCTACCAAGTTTATCTGCTTGCAGCTCGGTTATTCCACATGAATGCTTGCTGATTCATTCAACAGCAACAACAAGACTTGCAGTAACGCCAAACGACGATGGCTCCACTGATGGTATTTGGAAGCATCATGTCCTGCCAAACCACGTGACGCGCCCTGAGGGAATGTGACGCCGTGTGAGGGGCACAATGCAACGCGGGGACAGATGGGCCACAAGGAGCACAGAAAGGTGAACAGGAGGCGACATGACATGAAAGACATGCGACAGGTAAAGCTGGGAAGAAAGGAAGAGACATAAAAGAAATGAGAGTTGCAATAGCCAGAAACAAAAACAGGGACACCCCTCCTCAGATCTCCACATGATCAGAACGGCTGATTGTGTAACTACTGTAGCGGCTCATTTCTAAAGCAGGATTAGAGACAACAGGATTAAGTGAAACAGGTAAGAGGATCAGTTCAGTTCAGTTTGGAGGAGATGACAGAGGGATGCTTTTGTTTTCGCCTTGTTTGGGAGGCGGCATTCTACACGCTGATGGATCCCTTCTTATTATTGAAATTGCAAAGAGGAGTTTTGTGTAAAGAGGTTTAATACGAACATTCATTATCATTACGATAATTGCCTCCACACAGAGCAGACACCCTGGTCTTTTAGTGCCAGCGCAGCAGTAAGCCTACAGACCTCCTCCAATGAACGCCACAAAGAGCTGGCCGTAAATCAGGAGACCCGTGACCCTGCCCCGGCCTCGCTGAGAGGCAGCTCTCAGTCCGGGGTGAGGGCTTCGGGTGCAGGCCTTGACCTCCAAAGACCTCCACAGTGAGCTTGGCTCCACTTGCTCCTGTCTGTAGGAAGCCTTAGACCCCGGGGCGAGGACAAGGAAAAACAAAACGCTGTGTGTGGGAATCTGTGGCATATGGAGCATAACGTTGGGACACAGGGACGCTGAGGCCAAAGTTTGCCCCAGAAGAGTTCAGCCTTTTCAAAGCTGATTCCCTCGAAGTGCTTTTCTTAGAATATCGGAGAAACAGAATGTTTGAGTAACATCTGAACAACTCAAAACAGCAGATATCTGCACTTCCATCTAAAAACCAACAATGTTGATGACAAGAAAGGAGAACTTTAATTAGTAATCTATATTTTTCTTTCTGCTTTCAAGTTTGCCTATTTTAACTACTTTATTTCAATCAGGTTTTGGAAAAATGCGTCTCTTTTCCTTTTGCTGTCGAAAAAAACCCCCTTAAGATTAAGACTCATCTAGATGGATAGAAAACAACCAAAACGTCAAATGTTTTCTGTGTCTTTCTCACACATCCCATTCTTAATTTGCCATTAGTTTAAGAATGAAATGCTATCAGATGTTTATGTTATCCAACTGTCTTTAGAGCTACAGTAGCTGCAACTGTTCTTAAAAGGCTGAAAGTTTTCAGTTTATTTTTTTATAAATTTTTTTTTTAAACTATTTTTCCACTAAATAAATAGACATGAATGTCTATTTATTTATTTATCTATTTAGATGTTTTATTTTGGTGGGATAGGATTTTACTTTATGTGTGTTGTGGTTTATTTGAATAAAAATGACAATTAATAAAATATATTGTGTGAAATAGATTTTCACACAATATATTTATCTTTACTTTCATATAATCTGACAATTTACAAAACTTTAATTTGAATATATTTATTTTTAGGGGCTACAACAATATTATTATTTGACTGCTATCACTCATTAGCACCCTTCATCATTAATGATGCTTCCCTTTTTCCTGACAAATGAATATGATGCAATTCTAAAGCTTTTTTTCTCTTTAGCCCCTTTTTAAAGTAGTAAACGACAAGAAAATCAAAGTATTTCTTTGGTAAAAAAAAAAATTTGTTAGTCAGCCTTTTCTGTCCAGCATGATAAGCTGATTAAACTCTACTGGGACTTGAGCTGGGACAAGTGATTTAGTCAGATGAGGCTGAGATTGAATATCTAGAGAAATCTGATGTAAAAAAAAAAAGAAAAAAAAGTTTTATGTAGAAAAGCCCTCCATGCCACTCTCTTCAGTAAAGTGGAGGCTGGTGATGCTATGGGCTGCCATAGGCTATAGCAGCTTAATTAAGGGTGCATGATGTCATGAATTCTAATCTTTGAGCAGAATAGTGATCCAAAAGATATGTTTAAATGAAAAAAGACATGGTAAACCATAAAATAGAACCTTCTTCTACAGTATGGCCATCTCATCTAAAGAGTGGAGATATGTATAAAAAAAAAAGTTGCCCCATTCACCAAACCGGTTCAACAAGAAATATTACAAGCAAGCATTCCAAAAAGTATGTCTTTTGTGCAAAAAAATATTATACCAAAGTATTTTTCCCATATCAATAAAAAAGAAAAAAAAATCTAGGGTTGGAGTTTCTTTATCTTTCTTTTTTTCTCTTTTCGTTTCAAACAGTAAACCTTTAAAGCATTCATAACCTAATATTTTAGACCTACAATCCTTTTGAAATGGTCTTTCTTTAAAATAGAAAAGTTAAATTAATACAAAAATAAATTAGTTAAATAAGCTTGAACAAATTAATACCACTTCCTTTTTTCAAGAGTGAACACGCAAGAATTTGGCTTGTCTACATGCACGCTCATGTGGCATAAGCAACATTAGCAATTAGCCATTGTTTGTTTACCTTCATTTCCCAGTTTCTTAGAAAACAAGTTAATATCACCCTTCTAGAAATAACTAAATTGATGCTTTGTAGAGCAAACTCTACATAGTTGTTAATAAAAAGGTTTTCACTTTTAATATGAAACAAATTTCAAGCAGACATCGATCCTCGATTTAAACACATTTCATTCAGAGGTGGTCTAATCGGTTTACTAATATCACTACCTTTCACTGCATGTAATTCATGCTGATAGAAGCTCGTCGTTCTGTTAAGATTTTATTGCTTTGACACAGAGTGTCCAAATGATTTATGATTTCAATGAGTGGTTCTGCACATAGACTGAAGTGAAATAGTTTTTTAAAGCCTTGACCTCTAATGTAGCCTAAAGAAAAGGAAAGAAAAAATGAAGAAGAATCAAAGAGTCCCACACATGATGCTAGAATCAGTGAAACAGACATGCATACACTCTCCCTTTCTTATTTATGGCAGGTCACTGACTCCTCCCCCAGCTTTATTGAAGATGGTGTTTGCCTTTTTCACTTACTCCATGGAGGCTATTTTCTGTGCCAGACTCGCAATCACAGCAAACAGCCTCAGGTCCACGAGTCCGTCTGTCACTCTGAAGTCCACCATCTCCAGGATCTGAATCACAGCGTTCATGTTATGGCATGGTGTGAAAAACTGCTGGAATGCATGTGATCAGGGCTCTCATCCTCACCCTGTAGACGTAGATCTCTTCTTTTTCGGACAGCAGCTCAGGAGGAATGATGGTTTTGAGGGCGAGGAGAACCTGCAGGCAGGAGAGGTAGCCGTCCTTGTCGCTGTCCTCCTGTAAACAAACACCAAACTCCTCATAAATGTCTGTTGGTTTTATTAAAACGAGCCACCATCGGGATATAAAGGGGTGATAAAAGGAAAAAAGTATGCTGATTACTTTAAATACTGTAAAGCAAATCTATAAATTAGTAAAAATATCTCAAAATGAGTGTATTTACCCTTAATTAATGAGATGATCGATGGCAAATTATAAAAAATAAATCCCTTTTTTCTCCCAAAATGGGGTAATTGTGATGTTACAGCAGCCAACGGTTATAGCAAAAGTAGTTACATAATGTGGACCTTGGAAAAGTGTATAAAAATAACAATAAGTGACAGAGTTAAGAAAATAAATAAAATGCTGTACTGTACAGTGTTTTTACAATATAAATACTCTGTATCTGGTGAATTGATAATCAATAGCAGCAACACCAGAGATGTGCAAAAAATGAAAGCAGCATTTTTGACTAAGGCAGAAACTGCAAACATCAGCCTCAGTGTAAGAACATATTGAGGTTGTTTTTAACATTGATGGTTATAAAGTCTTACAGCTGCTGGGAGGTGGGATCTGCCACTTGAAGGAGAGTTTTCACCCTTAAAATTAAATATTTGTATACTATGCAATTGAAAGTCTGCCTCTACAGATGGCCGCTCACACTGAGCCTGGTTCTGCTGGAGGTTTCTTCCTGTTAATAGGGATTTTTTCCTCTCCACTGTCGCTACAAGCATGCTTAGTGTGAGGAACTGCATTCAAGCAATGAGTTGATGCAATCAACTGGTTTCCCTTAGATAGAAAACTTAGAATCAATTTGACTGGATGAACTGGTGAACTGTAAAGTGCCTTGAGATGACATGTGCTGTGAATTGGCACTATAGAAATAAACTGAATTGAATTGAAATAAGAGCCTGCAGCTGTTTTGCTCTCATTTTAAATGTAAATTGTCTTAATCCAATGGAAATGCATCTCATTTACCTATGCAATTCAAGAAAAACAAATAAACACTTATTTTAAGAAAATATGACCTACTACCTTTGACCTAAATCTACCAAAAGGCCATATAATTTTACAATTTGTGACAATCTCTACAGCAAAGGTTTTTCTTACATCAAAGTTAGCGTGGGGCTTTGCAAAAGTAATCACATTCACATTTCATTTCAAATTTTCTTAAAAAATGAGGAATAAATTAAAATGCAAACATCCCTAATTTTTTCACAGTATGACTTATTTAAAGCCTAATTAAAATCAAAATTTTTTCTTCTGAAAAGAGAGAGAAAAACAAACGAATGTATTTATACCATTATATAAAATAATCAAGTATTTTTTTTTTTTTTACAATAAATCGATTATTCTAAAGAGAAATACTTCTAATTACTTCTAATTAACATGTTTCTACTTAAATAAAAAAAACATTTTAAATGAAATATAAATAACAAAAGTATAACTAAGTCCAGTGGATTTTTTTTTTTTTTTAAACCTTTTTGGTATGAACTACAACATCTGTTTTAAAAGATAACGTATGAGTTACTCAAATATTTAACTTCCCTTTGGATTTAATAAAACATTTATAATTAATTGATTCACATTGATTCAAAATCGTTTTTGGTGATTTTAGTTTAGCCAGTTAATTGTCAGATTGACAGATTTAATTGTCGCCAGACTTGATTTACATTTTTCTGGCCAGCCTGCAAATCCAGATTGACTCATGTCTTTGTAGGCTTAAAGATTCTTTAACTCTTTCTATCATCAGATTGTAGAATGAGGCCACAATTGAAAATCTGAATTAATAATGTAATAAAAATTAGATGCAGGTTAATGCTGCAAATTAGACAATTTTTGAAGTGATTTTATTTAGAGGCATCTGATTAAAAATGAAGTGAAAAAACAACCAAAGACCAAAGTTTGGGTTGTTTTTTGTTTTTTTTTTAACATGGTGAAAGGTGAATAGGTTCAATTCGTCTACAGACTCCACACCTTCTCTGTGACTGGAAGAGCAACACATACCAATGAGTGAAACAGAATCTCCTGAAAGAGAAAGAACAAAAAGGGTTTAAATCGCCCTTCACTTACTGCTTCAAAAGCCCTTTTGTACTCCTCCAACTTCTCCTGACTGAAAATGCAATACTTTGCCAGAAAGTCGACTGGAAAAGACAAAAGAAGAAAACAACATGGGAAAGGTCAAAGTGTGAGGAAGCCTTTTTGGATGTACACGTCATTTCTGTAACATGCATATAGAGCAGTGGATTGTCCCATTTAAAATTAGATGTCCACCTCTAATAATGATATTAAGTCTGTGTGTGTGTGTCTCTTTGGGGTTAGGGAGGAGGGGAAATACAAAAGAAGTCCATTTGGATGGAAAATCTAAAGTGCATGGGGGCTGGGAGGAGTCACACTTGGCTGCTGAGTTCTGTAACAAAGAAGAAAATATTGTTTTTCTTCTTATGTTTTGTTTTACCTTTAACAATATATAATAAATGAAGAAGTTAATGTATTTCAGAAATTCCAGTATATACATTTAGCACATACAGACATTATGCATAATAAATTATAAATATAATTCCATTTTATTTATAATTCAGTGTTTATGACTGAAAAGAGGTCTGTAACTTTTTAATCATATACCATCTCCTTCATTTAGTCTTTAACATCAACGATCGTCTCGATTCTTCTTTACCTCTATTCTAGTCCATTAAGTGAGCCGATAAATGTATTTCTCTACATATAAACATACATTTACACATTCACATGGGCCCACATACATCTTAATTCATACAATTATTACCCACATGACCACAACCATTAAAAAAACATCTATACACCCATGTACAGAAAGTGAAATACCTATTCATGTTCACCATCCCCCATCCACCTGTATAATACTCTTTCAAACCACATGCACCTGCTTACACATTTCGGGAAAAAAAAAAGTATTTTTCCTTCATCATCTGCGTACCTTTCATGATACATTTTTCAAATTTAATGAGCATAAGAATTGGGTTTATAACTTTGAATTTATTGCTTTTTTCCCCCTTTTTCCATCTCATGGTTCTAATCTTACATCAAGGCAAGGCAAGACAAGGCAAGGCAAGGCAAATTTATTTGTATAGCACAATTCAGTACAAAGACAGTGCAAAGTGCTTTACATGATTAAAATACAGGAAGATAAAACAGAATCAAAGCAAGTAGGAAAAAAAAATAAATAAAAATAAATAAATAAATAAATAAATAAAAAATAAATAAAATAAAATAAAAAATGCATAAACAAAAAAAGAATATTAAAAACAGTTGGAAGTTTTTGTTAGATTACATTTATTTTTTATGGAGAAGAAGAGGACTTTGTTTGGGCTAATATTCCAGTATTTGATTTCTAATTATTTGTATGTATATTCTTTATTATTATACTAATGGTAGTGCTTTTGAAATGATTAATTTAAAGAAAATATGTTTTAGTTGAACTGTTTAACTAGAACAGTCAAAGGCAGTCCTAAACAATTTTTAGTCTTGATTTAAAGGAACTCAGGCTTTCCGCACTTTTACAGTTTTCTGGAATT